CCATCACGCATAAGCAATTGCATCCCCCTCTCATACAGGAACCAATTCCTACTTGTCCATTAGAAGGCATTATATTTTGGAACTATCACATTCGCGATCCCTGAATTATTTGTAGATTAAATGATTTGCAAAACATGTAATGAATTTGTTCTCATGCAGTTTAGAGAAGAAGACTTCTAACATTTCTTCATTATCAAAACTGTCACTGTAGTTTGACTAAGACATTATTAAAAGTAAGCTGTTACTGAATTACTAATCACATGTGTCCTTACAAATGAACTTAACTCCTGAACTAGCTCATTGCAGAGTCCCACAAGCATCAATGGCAGTACTTAGCTTGCACTCTTGCCAAACCCCAGATTGAACAATTCTGCAACATGGATTTCCAGTTGCAGAAATTGCATGTTATAGCATACTTCAGTTCTGTCACTGTTCCTACAGCGCTGTAAAATGAAGACAGATTTTGACTTCAAAAAGTCAAATTATGGAAGGGAGAGTGTTATGCAAGCGGTTTATAATAGATATCTTGATAAAGGGTATCCCCTACGCTACTTCATTATAAATGCTCTGATAAAAGCATGACAAACATTTCTGACAAATTACATGAGAATGGTCATTATGGAAAAGCCTTTGCCTCATGGGAATCCAATTGCATCTTCTGGCGACATTTTACTTACTGCCTCTTTGGCAGTCTCTCATCTTAATTCCCAGCTTTACTCTTACTGATGATAAACAGTAACTATGCAATAATAGCATGAATAACACAAAACCAGAGCAGCACTATTTGGCTATTGGAAAATTACAAAAGGAAAATAATAGTAAATCTACATAGCAACACGCTGAGAGATGAAGTGGTGGTTCAGACAGGACACAAATGCAGTGAATCAAGTGCATCATCCATCTAAGTCTATTTTTAAATAATAGATGCCTAAGCCATCTTGATTTGGGGTTCACATCTCAACATGCTCTTGTTTCAGGACTGCTGAACATACTTTTGAGATCTGTAAATATTTTAGCATTTTGTAGCATCCACTTTTTCAGTTTATCTTAAATTTAGCATAGATACCAAAACATTTAGATACATGAGTGCTTGTGAGAAAATGCATGACAGAGAAAGAAGCACATTTATATAAGATAAATTATTAAAGTTTTGCTTGGAAAGTGGACACGTTTTAAAGACTGATATTCTAATTATCAAAGAGCAATAGGACAATTTGAGTTAATTTTAGAAAAATGAAAATTACTAGTCAGTCCTGCTCACTAACAATAGCAATCATCTCAATTTACATGAAAGATAAATGCACTGTATGAGTGTAATAGAGAAATTCAGTAACCAAAAAGTGAATCTCTCCTTCACATTCAACTGCTATTGCGCCCACACTGGTGGATACAAGGTCACATCTTCCCATGGGATCTAGCACGTTAACAGCTAGTAAATACAAGTTCAAGGCAGTTCTTTGTTAGGTCTAAAGCCTTGTTCTCCCACTCACCCCACAAATCAGGTTAGCAAATGTGACGCCCATCTACAAGAAGGGCTGGAAGGAGGATCCGGGGAACTACAGGCCTGTCAGTCTGACCTGGGTGCTGGGAAAGGTTATGGAGCAGATCATCTTGAGTGTCACCATGTGGCACATACAGGACAACCAGGTGATCGGGCCCAGTCAGCACAGGTTTATGAAAGGCAGGTCCTGCTTCACTAACCTGATCTCCTTCTATGACAGGGTGACCCGCTTAGTGGATGAGGGAAAGGCTGTGGACGTTGTCTACCTAGACTTCAGTAAAGCCTTTGACACTGTTTCCCACAGCATTCTCCTGGAGAAACTGGCTGCTCACAGCTTGGACAGGTGCACTCTTCACTGGGTAAAAAACTGGCTGGATGGCCAGGCCTGAAGAGTGGTGGTAAACAGAGTTAAGTCCAGTTGGCTACTGGTCACAAGTGATGTTCCCCAGGGCTCAGTATTGGGGTCGGTTCTGTTTAATATCTTTATCAATGATCTGGACGAGGGGATCGAGTGTACCCTCAGTAAGTTTGCAGTCGACTCCAAGTCGGGTGGAAGTGTTGATCTGCTTGAGGGTAGGGAGGCTCTACAGAGGGATCTGGACAGGCTGGATCGATGGGCCGAGGCCAATTGTATGAGGTTCAACAAGGCTGAGTGCCAGGTCCTGCACTTGGGTCACAACAACCCCATGCAACGCTACAGGCTTGGGGAAGAGTGGCTGGAAAGCTGCCCAGCAGAAAAGGATCTGGGGGAGCTGGTCGACAGCCGGCTGAATATGAGCCAGCGGTGTGCCCAGGTGGCCAAGAAGGCCCGTGGCATCCTGGCTTGTATCAGAAATAGAGTGGCCAGCAGGACTAGGGAAGCAATTGTCCCCCTGTACTCGGCACTGGTGAGGCCGCACCTTGAATACTGCATTTGGTCTTGGACCCCTCACTACAAGAAAGCCATTGAGATTCTAGATGTTCTGGCAATGCCTGAAGATTTCAGGCAGTAAATAACAACTTCGTGGAACTTGCAAATGGGAGATGGCCCCAAGTCCTACTGTTGCAGGCAAGGAGAGGTAAATATAGTTATATGCAAGGAATAAACGTTGGTTATACATATTACAGAGACACCTGCATATCCAGGATAACACATATGTGTGTTTGTGTGGAAGCATTTTCTTGAGCTGTCTTTGAAAGTTGTACCTTCTCCCTTTTGTGTTAGTTACAGTGAGGATAGAGCTAATGTCTTTTTCCCTGCACTTGTAAACTATCTTGACATGAAGGTATCTTAAGCCCAGGTGTTTGCTTGTTTTTCAATAAGCATATATCATTTGTTGTTTATCGTATTGTTCCTTCCTGCTTCTAAGCAACATCTCCCACAGATATTTTGGAGACAGCAGACAGCCAGACTGTACATATAAAACTGCCAACCCTAATGCTTTTATGCCTCATTAACTGACCTCCTGCTCTTTTCTGCACTTGCCCAAGATTTCTAGATGTCCAGTAGCAGCATAACACATACGCCACAGGAGAGCAGCTCTGTGATCTCTACCACACAATGGCTCTGCCAGCCAAACACAGGGAAGTGTCCAGTGTATATGTGCAGAGCCCTGTGGTGGTCCATGCCAGTGGAACTTGACTGACAACTTCTTTACTGAGATCAGAATTAACTCCTGGGATTTTTCATAATGCAGAAAAAAATTGACAAAATTGTAGTGTGCTATGATTAGAGCATTGCCATGTTAATATCATCTGTCTGCTCAGGTGGTGCTGGTCTATAGTCACAGAAAACACATTAACAAATTGCTTTGGAACAGTAATAAACATAATAAATATGTGAAATTGTGTTCCGAGAAACTATTCTTCTACAAAGCATTCAGAGACAGACTAGACTTATGAAGCAAGAACTAAAGGAAGTGTAAAACCCTAGAACTGGCAGTGCTGTTTTTTATGCCCAGAACAGACTCTATTTTAATGCATGTAAAGCTCTCCCCCTCCAAGATACTCCTTGAAACCCATCTGTTCCGTTGTGCACTGCACTTAACAAGAGCCACCCACCACGCCGTTTCAGCATTGTACCATTCAGTGCTGTCCTGTGCAGTTCCAGCTTGTGCTCCTAAACTGCAAGCTCTTCCGGAGGGAAAAACCTCCTATTTATCTGACACAATTCTGCTATTGTACTCAGCCCTGCATGCTTACATCACTGTAAAAACAACAACATGCCTGAAGAGGAAAGGCTTAGCAACTAGGAAAAGAGAAGTATTTCATTGCTGGAACTTAGCATTCAGACACATTGTTTCAGTACATTAATATAGTTAGTCCAATATCTACCCTTTGCCCCGCAATGAGCAGCCTTGTCTGTCTGTGATGGCAAGAAGCCACCATTTCAGAAAACTGCAGCGATTACAGTTATGGAAAGCCTTGACATTGTGCAGGATAGTGGTCAACTTGCAGATATTAAACCAGTTCAGTAGCATTAACACTGAATGGTTGAAACAGCACAAAACGTCTGGAAATCACCACGGCTATGCACTGATCCTGAAAATTACCCAGCGTGGACAGATCTTGCTCATCAACCAAAACCCTACCGGTCAAAATAGGTTGAAATAACGAATCCCAGAGCTCCACAAAGCACTGGGATTCACCTGCAAGGAATATCCCCCCCACAAGCCCAACATCTACAATTCTCCCACAGTGATGTTATACTTCAATGGTATTTTTAATTCCTACTTTTCCTGTTGTGGTTTTAATAGGGAAACAAGGCTATAAATGTGAGACCTTCCCAGTGTTTGTTGGAAGGCCTCTTCTGGTCTCGGAGATGCTATGAACCCTTTGGGACTGGAAAAACTCTGCATTTGCACTCTGCCCTGCACCATGAAATCTTGGCAAATTAGTAGAGCTCTACAAAATAAAGTCAGTAATTAAAAAAACTGCCTGTACTGTCAGCCCATGCACCAGAACTGCAGCAGCCACATTTTAACCACCTCTCCGCTTCAACGTACACTCTGAAAAACGACAGGCATCACCTTCCCTCCGCGCTGACAGGCCTAAATACCGCCGAGGACACTGAAAAGGCAATTCTCCCCTCTTAGCGAGCTACCTGGAAGGCCACACCATAAAGCTGCTGTGGACACGCTCCTACAGCTCCTTCCAAAAGACCGCTGGAGGGGATTTAGCCCGCCAAGACGAGGCAGGGGACTGCCTCACACCGTCCCAAGTGGCAACACACCGCCGTTAGAGACTTTTTTCCCTCAGACTAAAAGCGCGCACCGCTCGCTCCCCCTCAGCGGCCAGCGACACCTGCAACCGCCCTCCCGCAAATAAACCGCCAACCCCGCCCGGCGGCGGGCGCCCTCCCTCCTTAAAGGGGCAGCGTCCTTAAGGACGCTGCCCCTTTAAGGAGGGAGGGCGCCCGCCGCCGGGCGGGGCTGGTGTTCGGCTTGTCAGGTCTGGTCGCCCGCCCGCCCGCCCCGCTCGGCGCGCAGAGTTGTGGCTGCGCTGTTCTCGCGCCGTTGCTATGTACCGCCTGGTGCGCCTGGGCCCGCTGCGGCCGCCGGCCGTTCCGCGCAGCCCCCCGCGTCCCCTCCCGCTCCCCGCCGTCCCCCGCGCCTTGGGCTGCGGTCCCCGCCTCGATGGGGTTGGCCTCAGCCCGCCGCTGCCCCTGGTAACGCTGCGATCCGCCGCCGGTAGCTCCGCCAAGGTAGGTAGGTGGGCGGGGGTGGGGTGTCTGGGAGCCCCCCCCGTGAGGTACTGAGGTGTGTGAGGGGGCAGCGCGGCCTCAGGGCCCGCCTCTGGAGGGAGATGTCTTGGTGGGGAGCGGATGGTAGCTTTGATTAAAGCCCAAGTTGTCCTGTTCTGGAAGTGTTTTCCAGCTTTTTGGGGGTGTGTTCAAGATCAGGGGTTCGGCTGGCCTGCGCTGCCCCCGGGGAGGGGGGGGGGGGGTTTTCCCTGGGGGCTGCAGAGTTTGAGCACTTCGGGTGAGTCATGAAGGATTAAAAAAAAGGGGGGGTCAGTAATTCGCGCAGACACCGAGAAGCCCGGGTGTTCAGGTGGCGGTGGCTGAAAGGGTTTTCTAAAAGTGGCGGGGGTTCAGCCCCCCTGCAGATGGCAGCGGGTGGCAGGGCTGGCGGCGTGCCTGCAGAGTCTGACTGCGCCTTTTCGTTAGCCGAGAGATAAAATACCAACGTGCACCCGCTTAACTGCGTGTTTCGCTGTGCTTTCACCGTTCAGTTGATTTCTGTGGAGATGGGAAGGAAAGATTTTTCTGATTTTGTACCACTCCTTGTTTTGTGTTTGAATTGACTCAGGAAGAACAGCAAATGATGGCCTTACACCTAACTGTTGTTTACACTGCAGTAGATTATTAAATCATGTTTATGCTGGGTTTCTGTAGGAGACAGGGACCTGCTTTCCAGCTGCTTGGGCCAAGATTGTGAACGTGAGCTTTCCATACAGAGCCTCATTTACATCTTAATTTCTACATCTTAATTTGCAGGTTAATTCCTGTAGCCTCATGGCAAAGCATAACATGATGTTTCAGATTTGTTTCCATGCCTTAGCTCATCCAGAAGCTGAGTCTTTGCCTAAATTATGTGAATAAAATTGGCTTTGTAGCAGCATTATATGGAAAATAGGTAGTTTTCTTTGCCAAGTTGTATGTTATTCAGGACATGACCGTGCTGATAGTCCAAATAATATCTGCTGAAGTGGTACTTTTTTTAACACCTTGCTTCGATACCATTCAGAAATTGCCTGGCATGTGAGCCTGAGAGCATGAGTGAATTAAAATGCACTTGGATGGTGAGAACAAGGTACTTTTCAATCCTTATGATCCATCTTGCAAGCATGGCTGTAAGACCCAGAGTTCCTCTGAGGCTTATGTATATCTGTAGGTTGTCAGCTCCTGTTTTCGTGGCAGCTATCTGAAGAAAATCTTCATGTTTGGCTCCTTAAATAAATAATGATCATCTTTCTTTGGATGAAAATTTCACTACAAGCTATTAAATCTTAAAATACCATTCAAACCATGCTTGGCTTTTAAGAAAATCACACCATTGAATAAATGACTATTCTTGACTAAGCATGTGATGTTGATTGCATTGTTAGAACAGCTTCTGGCAGAAGGTATTACGAGCCAATTTTGTTCAGTTTATTCAACTCGTTCCATTCAATAACTCAGTATTTAAATTTTACAGCTGGGAGTTAAAACAGAATTCTTCCCTCCTCCCCCCAAACTCCCCTTTGCTATAACAAAACTGAAGAGTAGGAGAATGAGTACTGAAACATGGTGAAGTAGCAGCAATGTAGTACAGCTATGTATGGAATCTGATTACATCCAGTGGCTGAAAGTAATTAGATTAAGCAAAAGAATGGATTCATAGTTAGATAATGAGCTTGCTTAAAAAAATATATATATGAACATTTTTTCCTCTTTACCTTCTAGTATTAAAACTGCTTGGTTTAAGCAACAAAGGATTTCTTTTTCTACTGGGCATTTTTCTTTCTTAGTCAAGTTTCAGTTTCTATTCAACTATGCCTTTGGCTCATGAGCCAAAAAAAAAAAAATTTTAAAAAATCTAACTTTATCCATTATGTTTGAAAATTTTAAAAATACAAGAATCAGAGTAAGTTTAGCTACACGATTCCCTAAATATGTATTTATGGATCAGCATGATTTCCTGTCAAAATGAAATGCAGAGTAACACAAATTATGATTAAAAAAGAGAAAAACAGCAGCAAACATAGGGTTTGGGGGTTTTGAGGGGGTGGTATGGTTGGTATGGTTGGTCTGGTTAAAATCACTGATTAAAGCGAGTTCATCCTGCCATGAGTGTTGTAAGAGGAGCCTGCCTTGTATCCTAATTTACAATCTCAGCAAGCCCAAAGATTAATCAAAAGTATTTTTCTTCTAATTTGTGTGCCTTGTAATCAGTCCACGGTAGGACAAAGTGGTGCCAGGCACTCAGTAGCTGTACCTGTCCTGTGGGCAGCAGTGGCCTCTAGTGTGGCTGTCATATTGTCATGACTGCTGCTGAATTCAACTGAAAAGAAAGGACTCTTCTAATCTTTCCTGACAGCCACTCACTAATTAGAGAAAAATCCTGAGGTCTTTGTGAAAACATTTTCTTTCTCCAGTTAGTATTTCTTCTATGACAAGTATGAGAAAGTATCCAACAGCTGTCTTGTTACTAGCAGCGTATATGCCCTTCTTTGCCGGCATTGGACTATCAGATTGCTTTGGGGTATATTTTAGTATGAAGTTCTGCATTTTAAATTTACTGAGATAAAAAGCTATCAATAAATTTTACTGTGACAAACATTTTCAGTGAAGTTAGGCTATTTACACCAGCACTGGCATGTCTGTATAGTTACTGTCTGTACTTTGGCAACAGTATTGTTTGTTGCTGTCAACAGTAGCAGTTCCCTGGTTCTTCCTTTTTTCAGCTGATCTACAGAGGGTGATTTACAGGAACTTAAATGTTGGACCCCTTATATCAGTAAGTTGTTAGTAAGCCAGCATCAGTGTGGTATCATGTAGGCTTTCAATGCCATCAGCTGCTTAGCCCTTGAACAAAAAGCACTTATAAGAATGCACTGTACGAAGCTGAGCAGTGGGTGTAAGCAAAGATCTCTTTGGCACCTCAGTGTCATCTCTCAAGCAACTGTGTGGGTGTGCCTTGGCACACATTTGGATCAAATGGAAGACTGGGACTATAATAACCCTTTTTAATGATGAAACTTGCATTGTGTAAGAACTTGCACCAAGCTCAGTGCATCCCTTTGATATGAATAGTTGGGAAAAGGGAGTTTGCATGGGCTCTGCCACAGGCATCTGCTATCATGATGTGAAAGAGCAAAAGCATGTTACTATCTTCCCAAAGCATGCTGAACAGCACTGTATGCAAGCCACTTCTTTCATTATTTCAGATTGGCTCAACCGACTGGAATATGATATTGTGCTTAATGCTAATAAACATTTTTAATGGTTTTCTTTTTAGGATGCAGGTGGTTCCCCCGAAAAGGCAGTCACAGATCCCAGTGGTGAAAACAAGAAACTCAACAAATCCCAGCAGCTGAAACAAGTTTTTAAAGAATACGGTGCTGTAGGGGTTTCATTCCATGTTGGAATTTCATTAGTATCTCTAGGAATTTTCTACCTGGCTGTGTCAAGGTGAGGTTTGCACAATTTTGTCTGTAGCCTCTAGGTAATGGTTTAGCCAAGAAAAATATCTTACCATTGTGCTTATTTCTGGAAGGAGACATGTACTCTATGCCTGTTTGATCTATACACAGTAATTTTCTGAATTTGGGGTATAGATGGATCCATTTATAATGGAGATTAGATCCATGCCTGATGAGGTAGGAGAGAAGATAGATGTACATGATCTTCTTGCATAGGTTCACGATCCATGGTGGTCAGGTGAAAACAGCAGAGTAGAGACTGCACCAGAGTAACTAACCAAATGAGAGAATTTATTTTTGTTCTGCAGAGATATCTTTTCTTCTCAAACAGTAGTATGGTCTGCAGAGATGGAGCCATACAAAAGTGCTGGAGCTTAGAGATAAATTTGTTTTTCTTGGTGTTGAACTCACTTTCTGTAGTTGAACTGCAGAAGGCAATGGCCACTAAAACAGAATTAGATTAAAAAAAGAAAACACTAGGTAACTGTATAGGAGTCAGGCGGGAAATTGTGTATGTAGCTTCTGGTGGGAATGCATCAGTTATAAATATGTCTGTTGAGCATGAGGTGTTTCAACTGAGGAGATGGGGAAACACATTGTTTCTCAAAACATTCCCTGCCACTTACTTTTGCCTTCAGTGGGGATATGTGAATGCCCGATTTCTCTAATTTACTACATCATGGCACAGGGTGACAATGAAAATTTTTTCCTTCAGGTATGATTTAACTCCCAGTTACAAGATATTATACTGCCAAATGAAGGTGGTTGCAGTAACAACTTATTTTGGAAAATTACTCCAAACATAGGAACCTTGATGAAAGCTGCTATGGCTGTAGAAAATTAAAATATTGATGGATTTGGTGGATAATGCTTATTTGAGATCTATAATACTTCCTTCGCTTGCTAGATTTTAGATAAGATACTTGTCATTTTAGCAGCTTTGTACTCCTCTGTTAGAACACTCTAAGCCTAACAACAGGTACCTTATTTGGTTTGGGTTGATCTATATGTGATAAATTTCATCAAGACACAGAGTAGGCTTTATTGCAAATTTTGGGAAGATGAATTTCCAACACAAATTCACAAATTTCTAACTTTTTTAAAATTCAAAAGTAAAGAAATAAATTATTTTATCGCCAAAGGTTGAGCATGGGACCGAGTATTCTCCATGCACATGCTGCAGTTATACAGCTGTAAAACTAAGAACAGACTTCACTTCACAGGGAACTTGTCAATTTAAGTAAAAAAATGTGCATCTGAAAATATTGCATGTGTTGTTGCTACAGAAGTAACTTAAGCTGTTAATGCTGAAATAATTAATTGTTTTTATTAAACATCTAATTTGAACATAAATTCCAGAGTTGGAAGTGTGCCATATTAAATTCCCTGAAAAAAATAGCACTGTATATTTTTTAGCATGCAACCTTGAAATAAACTAAAGAAATCTTGTTTTCTTTTTCCCTAGTGGTGTGGATATGACTGCAGTTCTCTTCAAACTTGGTTTCAGTGAGTCATCATTACAATCTAAAATGGCTGCTGGTACAAGCACATTTGTGCTGGCATATGCAGTTCACAAATTGTTTGCTCCAGTACGAATCAGCATCACTGTGGTTTCTGTGCCATTTATTGTCCGATACTGCCGGAAGATTGGTTTCTTCAAACCTCCTGCCCCAAATCCATGATTTCTTACTAGTTTTTACTCTTTTTAAATGCTCTATATCCATGTAGCTTTTCGGATTGCTAAAGTTTTTTAAAAGACTTACGTGGATTCATGTTAATGCTGACCTCCTCTTGCATTTCTTACTTGTTCTTTCAGGTAAATGTTACACTGTGAAAAGTGCTGTCCTCCTTTCCCTTTTGCCACCTCTTCTTCAGAAAAACCTGTTAAAATGGTATCTGGTTTCCACTGCAAGTGGTAATATAAATGCTTGACAATGAGCAGTCTCTTTAGAACACGCAGTTCTAGGTCTTTATAATCTAGTTTTTTGGGCCTTAACATTTCTCTTGTCAAAAGAGAGTGGCCATGTTAGTTTATTAGTGTAGTTGGGAAACAGACTAAGATTCTCTTCCGACTAGTCTGTGGAATAAACAATATCCTACTGTATGAATAGTTCTTTTGGTAAGTGTGTATATTGGAATCTAAGGGGGTAGGTGAGTGTTTCTTTGTTATAAAAGGCATGTATTAGAGCCCTGTCTTGCAGCACCACACACATGCTGAACTAACTTAAGTGGCAGTACCTGTATGCTTAATTATTACACAGTGATAATTGTTTTATCCAGAATAGGTGATGCACTGTTCTGAAACTACAGCTCCTTTGTGGTGCTTCCATGTTTCAAGATTTTATTGTTTGCAAATGTGCTTTGTTTATAGGCTAGGAGCTGGCCTTACTGAAGTCTTTTTTTTTCATGCCTATAGACTCAGAAGGAATCCTGAGTCTACTGAAATCAGTGTAACCAGAATTACCTCCTATGTGAACATATTCCAAAGATCATCAAGTCAGAGGCAAGGTATCTGTGGGTTTTTAATCTATCGAGATCTGGCTTTGTACTGGAGACTTTTTTTTTTAATCTAAAAACTAACCCTAGCAGCTTTCTGCTCCTGTGGATGAAACTCACATCTGCACCTGAAGTCCAGACATTACAATTCATAGCTTCTCAAGAAAAATTCTTATGCTTTTGTCTGACAGACTGTTGAACGTACCAGTTAGAGGTGCTTTTCATTTCCTTATTTGGACACTGTTCCTATTAGAATGTGGTTGCATATGCATTATATTCACATACCACCTTTCAGTTAACCTGAAGACTGGATCCCAAAACTAGGTAGTCAATGTAACATTCTGTGGTAAACCTGAGTTTCAGACTTAGAACTGTGCTTCTGTGAGATAGCTCGAGCCAGATCTATCAGTCTTTTGGACCTGTTCCTCCTTCCAGGTCTGCTCTTCTTACATTGTCTTGCTCTGTCTTTGTGCTTACACTTACCCCCAGGTGGCTCTGACAGATCTGTTCATGCAGGAATCTGATTAAAGTAAAATAGCAGGAAATTACCCTGGTGATGACAGTAATTTTTTTTTTCCTGAAATATAGTGAATTAAGAGGAAGGAATCATGTGGTTAGGATGAGAGTTGGCTGAGGGAGGGAAAGAGGAGCAAGTAATTTCTGTTGTTACAAGCAACCTATTAACTCTACTCAGCCATAACATTAAATTGCACCTTAACTCCTTTCCCATTCAGAAAGTCCAATCCATAGCCTGGTTGGATGCACTGAGGATTCTCAGGCTCACTAGTGAGCAAGCAGCATTTGTGCTCTAGAAGATGAGTCACAGCCACATACATCCTTGTACCTCTGTATTATTGCTACCCCTTGGTTAATCAGAGGTTTTCTCTAAGACAGGGAAAACTGGAAGAGGGGTAGTTTACCTCCTCTGCTCTGTGGAAGCAAACAGATAACTAGAGACTGCCACCTGAAAACAAAGAACCCATTGGTAAGGGCTTGGTCTCAGGGGGCAGTGCTGTTAGCACAGATGAGGGTTTAGCATCTTAAGATGGAAACAGTTGCAGCAGTGAGTAGGTACAAATGCAAGATAGAGGCTTGATGTATAATGCAAACACAGCCATACGTGACATATGTAAAGATTCATTACATAGTTAAACACTGCTCAAAATACTGACCTTAGGAGCACGGCATACTGAGAATCGGCCTTGCAGTGTGACCTGCTTCCATGAGAGCTGTAAGCTGTGTCACTAACAGAGCTTATATCATGCACAGCTGCTTGGCTTGGAGCAAACATTCTGCTGCTTCATGTACCCATGTGTGCAGAAGGAATGGCTGTCAAGCTCATTTTGACTAGCTGCTTATTAAAAAAAAGCCACCAACCACAACATACTGGACTTTGCCCATTTCATGCCTGCTTTGCAGTATGGCTGCTGAAACTGGCAGCTTGTCCAGGGTACTAGCTTCAGCTTGCTGCTATCTAAGCCAGCTCCAACTAGAGCACAAGTTTCAAATCAGCTTGTCCCTCAAGGAAGCTCTGCCTTTATCCTTGACTGATCTGTGTTATTATACCTGTTACATGGATGGAAGCTTATTGCTGAGTGTTTGATAGGTAAAAACTGCACACAGTTGAAGGGTTACCACATTATGACAACATGCAACCAATACTACTGTAGCTTTCTGGGACCTGCTACATTCTAGAACAGCTAGAGTCTTTTAAATTTCAAGTGGGCAGTCAGTATTTATTAAGTGTAAGTTTTACTTGGGCTTATTTTTTTCCTGTTCACAGAAGCCTGTGGTTTTTTTCTACATGCCCTCTATCTTTGTATCAATTTAGGGCAAGTACTGTTACCAAGGATAACGAAAGAATTCCAGAATAGTCACAAGGCATCCTTGTTTTCTTCATTTAATCAGTCATTTCTGATAAGTAAGTTTTGTCCTGAAGTTGATAGAAAATGAATATTCAAGCTTTTTCTTTTTCAAAAAAAAATCTTTCTGTAAAGCAGGAGTCATTTAAAGCAAATGCACCTAAATGTTATTAAAAGTCACCAGCACTAACTAGAGATTTTCTTGCAGTAAAGAAACAGAGCTTCATTTAAATTATGACCAGAATTGAGATTACCTATTAAGATAAATATGGTTGTATAAACTACTGGCAATTTATTTAGATGAAGTTTTTTGCAAAGTATGTTTTAAATTAATTTGAGAATATATTTTGAATTCTAGAATCCTTGCTTGTAAAAGGATCATTTTTTAAAGTGGTTTGTAAAATAGTGAAGATGACCTTAAAGTCTTATAATGAAAATAAAGTAAATTGCTTTCTCTTAGTTTGCTTGAAGAGTTTTACTGGAAGAATAGTTGGTTTGTATGTTTTGGTGGTGAGTTGCCTGACCCTTGCTACCTTTTAGGGAGTAACACCTTACAACACCAGACATTAACATTAGTTCCTGTTACATATCCTGTTTGATAACAATACTTTCCAGACCTTTCTCTTAGAAGTGCTTTCAGACCATGTTGTCTTTGAATAACTGCATTAAAAAAAAAAGGAAGAAAGAAGCAGGCCTAGGTTTCAAGGGTTGTAGAAAACCCATAAGGCAAGTAGCAACACATTTGGTACTTACCTTGTAATCGTGTGTTGTGACTGCAGAATTGTAAGTGACCACACATACTTTGTGGTACCAGCACTTTGAGCAAGAACTTTATACCAGCATCCTTTTTGACAGAGGTGGGAAGCAACCTTATTTTGTGATCATAGATGAGGAGTCAAGCTGTACTGATGGTTAAGACAAGTGGTTAGAGAGACAGCCAGTGGAAGTGATAATGCCATAAGGAATGTTACCGTGCTGGTGGCAGTATATAACAAGTCTTTATTTTAAAAGTTGAGTGCTCACATTTAAGACAAAATAGAGACAAAAATAATGCACACATCATTTTTAGGACACTTAGAGAAATGCATTCACCTTACTCAGTTTCAGATTACACCACAGTTATGATACCCTTAGCAGCCCAGTAAGTTAGGAGGCAGGTATCTCCAGGATATTGCACTGTCCAATAAGCTAGAATGACAACTTCCTCTTGTTGTTAGAACAATGAACCATTACCAGGACAGACCACATCATAAGAGCCTTGAACAGCTTAATACTTACACCAGCAAACCTGGCCCACATGCAACTGGATTTCAAGTATATTAAGTATTCCACAACCTCCAGCTAGAAGTCAAATGACTTTACATTGCAATTAGAGTTTAAGGAGACTGCCAATCCAAAGACTTGCATTCCAATTGCCATTAGATTCCAAGACCTGCTTTTCATATTGTAAGTATTAGAGTAGTCACAGTACAAGACTCCTTTTGTTGATCCCATGAGGTTACCCCTGCTATGACTGTGTTCTGGATGGGGCAGCAACATCACTCCTTCTGCTGTTGGGCATCTTTGTAGAGTTTGCTGTAATCCAGGGATGAAGAAGTACATCCTTCAGGGGCAGTCGACAGAACGGGTTATGCTTCAGAAGCTTTGAAATTAAATCCCTTGCACCTTCTGTTACAAATGGAGGAAACCTGAATTCCACCTATGGAAGAAGAACAACACTAAAGATAATGCAAAAGTTCTTTGGTAATAACCAAGCCAAGGTAGATCTGGAAAGGAAAGCTATGTCAGCCTTGTGGGCTATGCACCTTACACCTGTTGAGATGAGATTAAGTAATTCCATCATAATCCCAAAGAAAACAAGGTTCTCGCTACTTGTAGAAGTTAAGCTAGTGTATTTTTCAATGTACTTCAAACAAGATCAGCTTGCTGGAACTTTTCTAGGGTATGCAGCAGGAAAGGTTCAGCTTATGTATTTGTAGTAATACCTTGAATGTTAGATATTCATTTTATAAATTGGAAAAGGAAAGATGCAGAGAAGATTAGTAGCCTTATGAAAGAGGTAGAAGTTCAGATGCAGGCAGAAACAGGGTAGAAGCAAGGAAGTAAGGCAAGGTATCTTAAGCTCTCAGTCATTCTACTGAATGACTGAAGACAGTTTTAGGGATCTAGCTTCACATATATCATTGTGTCTTGCTACAGTTCTAGTTATGATACATGCCGTTCTTCAAAATGACCATTTGTTAAACTTCAGTAAGACAACAGAATTGAAAGACAGAACAATTCAACTATTCCAAATAAGTGTTGGCACATACCTTGGAAATAGCTCTGTAGGTTTCCTGATATGTTTCTGCTTCAAAAGGTGGTTTCCCTACGAGGAATTCATAGCACAGAACTCCCAGGCTCCAAATATCCACCTTTTCATCATGTGTTCTTCCCTCAATCATTTCAGGAGGCAAGTAGTCAAGTGTCCCACAGAGAGTTGTTCTCCTGAAGAAAAGTCTAAGTTAATAATTTGCTGATTATGGCAATTATAAGATCCACTTCAAGAGCCAGACAGAAACTAATGCTGGCAATCATCTGTACCTCAGTGCAGTCTACCCTGGATAGAGTCAGCACCACCAGAATACCTGGTAAAGAAGTTCCAGCAATAAGTTTTCTACTTTTGCTTTAAAGCATCTCAGTCACTGCATTCAGTCTTATCCTTCCTTTTTTCATCCCACTTGCTAGATCAATAGTCTTCCTTTGTCAGGTGCAATTCAGACTAATTGAGGAAATGTCTTAAGTATATTCCTAGTGTGATGCTTGAACACAAGTGCTGGTCTGTCATCTCAGGGACCACTATAACCCTACAACAGTACACCAACCTTCTTCACTTGTTTCAGGTTCAGCAAGTTTTGAACTATACAAGTTGAAAAAAAGAGGATAATAACACTCCCTCTCTGCTACACCAGTTGACTATAAGACCTTTGCTGCAGTGACTCTGTTCTTAAAGAATTTTTTCCCAGTATTTTAGGAAGTTCATATTTACCTCCATTCCACAATCGCAAGTGTGGCAAGAAAGCTAACATTTTCACTACGGAAGTATTTCACTGCGTAAGATACATATTGCATTCTCACCTAGAAGATGGAGCATGCACAGACCATCCAAAGTCAGCAATTTTTAATTCGCCGTTTGAGCCAAGCAGCAAGTTTTCTGGCTTGATGTCTCGGTGAATCACACTCTTTGAATGACAGTATGATAGGGCATCTGCTAATTCTGTTATGTACTGTATTTAGAAAGAGAACAAATCTTTAAAGACATTGTCACTCTAGCTTATCTGGCTACAGTGTAGCCTTTTCTAGGCATAATAGCAGTTTAAGGTAAAGCCATTATTCCTTAAACCCTTGTAGTCTGGCAATACAGACTCTGCCTGAAGCGACCAAGCACTTACAATATTAAGCAATGCTGAACATAGTTATATTCGTGCTGTGCAGTAATTTTTCTTCCCAACTTATTCCTTGTTACAAGTGCACAAGCAAACTAGCATCTAAGGAATCTCAGTTTCACAGAACTTTAACTGAAGAGCTAGCTTTATGCTGCAGATATTCCAGATACGAAGAGCAAATAATGTATAAGAAGCTAGAACAACCTACAGTAGCAGTTCTTTGCTCATCAAACTTGGTAAGCTTCTGAAGTTCTTTGTAGACTTCTCCACGAGGTGCATACTCTAGAATAAGGTAGACTCTTGTAACATCGTGGAAGTAGCCATATAATCTGAGAATGTTGGGGTGCCTGCAACAAGATTTAAATATTCTTCTGAACAAGATATTTGTCCACATAACTTTAATTTCCTTTTTCTGCCTCCACCCTTTCAAGGCAAGCATGGGAACTTCAACATCTTGTAAGCGTTCCTTCAGCTCACAACATATCCATTAAGAGAGCTTCACAGCAGATAGATGGTGTTTATCAAAGCAGCAGGTTAAACTCCCTACTAGCAAGCAGCTAGCCAAGAGTTTGGCTAATTCATATCTTCTTGAACACACCTTTCTATAGCAGCTGGAAGAGTAGATTACCATTGAAGGCGCCAATTCCTACGAGTTTTAGAATTTAAGCTTAAACTGCAAAAACTATTTTTCTTCAGCAAGCTAGGCTTTGTCGTGGTTTACCCCCAGCCAGCAACTAAGCCCCACACAGCCGCTCACTCACTCCCCCCCATCCAGTGGGATGGGGAAGAAAATCGGGAAGAAAGAAGTAAAACTCGTGGGTTGAGATAAGAACGGTTCAATAGAACAGAAAAGAAGAAACTAACAATGATAATGATAACACCAATAAAATGACAACAGTAGTAATAAAAGGATTGGAATGTACAAATGATGCACAGGGCAATTGCTCACCACCTGCCGACTGTCCCCGAGCAGCGATTCCCCACCCCC